CCTTATACCATCGTGAACAAAATCTCAAAAACTTTTGTACATAACATTTCTCAAATGCTCTAATATGGTGAGAAACATGCAGCAAAATAAAATTTCATTTTATTTTTTCCAAAGGTTTTCATCATAATTTTTCACCATGTACAATTTAGATTTTTCCATAAAATTTCCCCTAAATTTTCCTTTTGCAAGAATTCTCAAAATTTTCTAATTTGATGAAAAAAAAATAGAAATGATAGAATTTTGAAAAATATTTCTCCAAAATCTTTCATTATCTGACCACATGATGTGAAATTAGGATTTAAAAAAGAAATTTCTAAACAATTTCTCAAAATGCTGTAACTTGAAAAGAAACTTGAAGAAAAGATAAAATTTGGAATATTTTTTCCGAAAGATTTCATCAAAATTTTTCACCATTTTTCACCAAATTAGGATCTAACCAAAAAAAAAATCTCAAAATGCTCTAATATAATGAGAAATATGCAGAAAATATAAAATTTGTTATTTCCCCCAAATTTTTCATCATCTGACAACATGGCGTGAAATTAGAATTTTATCGAAAAATTCCATTAAAATGATTTTTTTTTTAATTCTTTAAATATTCTTATTTGATGAGAAACATGCAGAAAAGATAAAATTTGGACCTTTTTTTTACGTTTGTGAAAGCACAGATACTCTACTCACCGCCACATGCTTTTCCTAGTTTGATGTGAAAGTTTCACAAGCCACTGCTCCATCCACCGGAGCAGGTGTTTTGCATCGCAAAGTTATTGCCTTGTTTGCAGTTGAAAACAAAGAGCTGGCTAAGATGTGGCCAAGGATTTCTTTTCGCTTTCCGAGTCCTCTGCTCCGTCATCATGTTTTTCTGAAAGGTTTCTCCAAATGCTCTAATTTGATGAGAAACATTCAGAAAAGATAAAAATCTGAATTAGTTTTTTCCAAAAAAACATTTTTACCAACTGACCAACAAGAAATTCAAAATTAGGATTTTTTATGCTAATTTCCAAAAAAAACTCTCAAAATGCTATACTTTGATGAGGAACATGCAGAAAAGATAACATTTGGAATTTTTTTAATAAAAAAAATCTCTAAATGCTCTAACTTCATGACAAACATACAGAAAAGATCAAATAAAAAAATTGAATCACCATTTTTTAACATCTGACCAAAAACTACACAAATTTTGCCAATTTCAAACATTTTTAATTTTTTTTTTTCTAAAAGCTCTAATTTGATGGGAAACATGCAGAAAATATAAAAAAATATATTGCCATAAAATGTCGTCATAATTTTTTAAAAATCAGATTTTACCAAAATAATGCAAAGTTATCAGTGAACTACACCAGACTTTGGTTTTGGGGGACTAAACCTGCTCAGTGCACACCCTTTAAAAAAGTTTACTCCTTGAAGAGGAGTACAATCATAACTGTAGTATAGTATTAAAATCTTATAGTCTTGTTTAAGAAAAAACAGAAGATAAAAAACAGCTTTTATTTTTTTTTTACACTGCAATACTAAAACCTTTCAGTGTACAAAAGTGTGGATTTCTGCTGGCTTCATTATTCAGCTGAGTCCCATAGGAAAACAAAACAAAACAAAAAGACCCTGTCGCCTCAGTTCAACCACTGAACAGGTGAACAAATGGAACAAAAAAGGAATAGTCCTGGAGGTTCAAACTGTATTTTTTAAGCACATACAAAACAAACATAGTTCAGTTAAGTCTCCTGTCGCAGTTGTGGAGAATAAATAAATGTATCTGCTGACACACACACACGTAGGATCGAAATTTAAGGCAGCGGTTTGGTTTGGAAAAAAACGAAAAAAAAAAAAGATGGAAATTGAACGACTGTCAAAACAACTGATCCAAATCTTTAAGATGGAATACTCGTTAATAAACCTAAAAAACAAAAAGCAGACATTAAAGATCCAAGTGAATAATCCTGATAAGGCAAGACAGAGAGTAAAACCTTTTTTTTCTAGTTCAGCTCTCAGAATCTTTTTGAAAAGACCAATAATTAATGGTCCATTAAGTTATGGTCCAAAGTTTCTTGATAGTGCGACGAAGATCTTTTCCAGGATGTGAGTGGTCGTGCAGTGATTCCTTTGACGGTTAGCAACAGCAAACCCACATCTCTGGCGTCTTCATAAGTGACTCCAGACGTAAACCTGGGCCGCCCGTGTCCGAGGTCCCTATACATGTGAATTAAAGCGTGGGCAGTTTAATTCATGTTAAGTCCAAAAAAAATAAAAAAATAAACTGACTAAGGGCTTCATACCCAGTCAAATTCACTTTTATTTCAGGCTTCAACCTTTGATTCACAAAACATAGAAATGCATTCAACCAAACTTTCTTGTCAAAACATTAACCATGGTCAACCTCAGCTCACGTCCAAACTACAACATGCTTCCATGACTTTCTCCACACAGACTTCACTAACACAGTGTCACATTTTCACACAGAGGGTGGTAACAAGGAGAAAATTAAACACAAACCAGACACGGCATTCACATCAAATCAGACAGGAGAAGAAAGGATATAAATACTCATGTCACGTGACACTTCCTCACTCTTAAGGGTTGGATAGAAATACGACAGAAAGAGCAGAGACCACAGAGGTCTCAGTGTCCTTGTGACGACCACTTTGAGCACACTCGTACTTGCTGCTTCCTCTCACACTCGCACAAAGCCACAGGTTCTTCTCCACTCACAGGCATTTGTCTTTCAAAAATAAAGGGGAAAAAAACTGCACAAACAGTCCTTCTCACTCGTGCCGTCTTTCATAGTATTTTGCTCTCCCGTTCGTTCGCTCGCTCACTCTCACTCGGTCCAACACCAGTCCCACTCATCGATCTCGAAAAAGCGACAAGAGCAGTCAAGATTTCTACATCCTTATATAGGATAGGAAAAAAAGGGGCACCCACCGTCGGTTACAGAATGTGCAGAGTGAAGCTGTGTTCTTTGATGACAAAGCATTTAGACATGGGAAGAGGGGAAGGGATACCGAGATCTGTCCAACATTGCAGCCAATGAGGCGCTTCCTCCCGGGACGGGAAATTGGGAAAGATGTGTTGAACTGCAGAAGGGATTTTCATGAAGGCAAATTCAGAGGAAAAAAAACACAACAAAGAAAAGATGCAATAAACTGCATACAGATATACTGTATATAATAATATGAAGCCCGACTTATAAAGGGCCAGAGCAGCACTTGACTCTCGTGCACATTTTCATATTTGTCCTGCATGCACACATTACTCATGTGGAAGGAAAAATAAAAATCTTCTAGTCTAACAATTTGTCCTAACAAACTAAAGTCTTCATCCACTCAGTGCAGGACTGCATCATTAATCACATGCAAGTACAAACGTTCTATTAGACATAATAACAAGGCAGTGTGTGTTTTTAGATAATGAGGAAAAATAAAGATATACGCTCATCTCATTTTGAAATATACTTACCAGCGTAGCCTAATTAAATAATAAAAAAACCCTTCAATAAAATACATTCCCTATAATACATCTACATTCCCCAGCTAGAAGACTTAGACTCCATAGATGTGCCAAAGCCAGAGCTAAAGCCACTGTTGGTGGCAGCTGTAGTGCCTGCAGTCCAGCCAAGGCTGGCTGAGCTGGGGCTGCTGAAACTGGTGCTGGCAGAACTATAGGTCTGGTCTCTGGTTGTAGTGGCTGTGCCGGCTGCTGTGGTCAGACCCTGCTGGTTGGCCAACATGCCCATCATCCCCCAACTGCTCTGCAGAGCTGCCTGGGCAGCAGCCACCATGGCTGGGTTCAGACCCAGAGCCCCAAAATTAACCCCACTGGTCCCACTGCCCAGCCCACCACGACTATTGCCATAGCCCTGACTGAACCCACCAGCCCCAAAGCGCCCTCGATCCATCATTTGCCTACTATTATTGTGTTTGGGCTCTGCGTTAGAGATGTGCACACTGATGCCCTTGATGATCAAGTCTTCTCCACACAGAGCCTGAGCGACCTGAAACACAAGTGAGGAGGGGATGTCATGACACCGACATCAGATGTTTCCTGAATCTTTCACTGCAAGTCTTTATAAATTAACTGCTACATTTATTTATATATAAATTCTGGAAGCCATCTCTAACATTTGTGACAGGCTTCCCATTAAGTCAGATTGTCACAAACTCAATGCCTGCCTTGCTGACATGTTTGTACAACCTGGTTGACTCTTGCACTTGTGCACAAAATAACAAAAAAAAAACAAACAAACAAACAAAAACATTCTGTTTTATAATGATGACATCTCATTGTGTATTATTCAAACTCTGTAACTAAGGATGAGCCTTACCTGATCATCAGCAAACGTAACAAATGCAAAGGCCCGGAAAGGTTTAGGGATGAAGACGTCGGTGACTTCACCGTACTGCATGAAGTACTGTCTTAGTTCATCAGGTGTCATGTCTTCTGTGCAGCGACCGACAAAAATTTTACGACTGCGCATTGGCTCATCAGGACACATCTGCAGAGGAGAGTAGTAGCTGTGAGTCTGATCAACAGTTCTTATGTTATATACAATAAAACATCTGAAGTTTCTCATTTTTATAATTCATCTTTGAAAGTCAGCCAAGTCACTTCACTTTAGTCTCAAGGCATAGACAGCAAGGTGAAATGTCCTTAACAAAGCTCCAGGTTGTCTCAGTTTTCACCTGGTGACCTGTCCAGGTCGGTCACATCATCAGTCGTTGGCATTATGACAGGTTAGCTGTCAAAGCGCTTACTTTAGAATTGGGATGTTTGCAGTCACACCACCGTCCATCGATCATGTGTCTCTGAGCGATGACTTTTGTCTGTGTCTCATAGTCAGCGAAGCGGACAAATCCAAATCCTTTTGAGTTGCCGTTTGTTTGTCTCTTGACCTGGAGAAAACAAAGAAAATGCAAAGTTTATTAAAAATAACAGGAGTGTTCTCAACAAAAATAAGCATTTTAACCAGACAGAGCAGACCTCATTACCTGGACCATGATGACCTCTCCAAATGTACTGAAATAATCCTTCAGGTCCTGTTCAGTGGTTTTCCATGGCAGTCCAAGAACAATCAGATCTGATGTTTTCTGAAAGCCTCTCTTGACCTTTACAGCTGAGGCAGCATCTATTTCCTCCATCTTTCTTTTGTTATCCGAGGACATTACAATACCACCTTTGAATAACAGCACAACCAAAAAACAACATAATGTAGTGTTGGCTTGATTGAAGACAAAACTATAGACACTGAGAGAGAAGTGCAACTACATTTCTTAAATATAGGTTCATGAATAAAATAATCCTCCTGGAAAATATCTATAGTTAATCCTTTAACCTCTTGGGCAAATAATTAAAGCAACAGACCAATGATTGGGTTACACCAACCCCCAATGGTAGTCCATGTAGCTCAGGTCAGAGCTGTCTGAAAACTAAACAGGTTATTGTACACCAAAGACTAGAAATTATTTATGACACAGGCTTTGTTCACAGAACATCACTGTCTGGTTGAAAAGTGTGCAGTCTAAAAATAGAAGGATTTCTAAAACAAGTTATTCCATTGCTTTGCAATATTTGTCAACACCCGAAAACATTGACTACACATTAGAATAAATGCAGTGAAATGCAGAATGGCAAAATGGTACATTTGTCTTTTGCAGAATGCAGTTTGTGGTTTAAGTTAGAGCTGCAACTAACAACAAACATCTAGATAAAGACGCGGTATGAAAAGATGACTGGTGTTTTGCCAGTACACAAAAAAACAGAAAAGAGTTAGAGGCTGTTTATCTTGCATGCAAAAGCATATAAAACATCTATGTGAATTTTGATACAGTGGTAATGACAAATTATTATGATCAAGTGGCTGAAATTTATAAAGTCTTCCATATTCTAAGATAAAATATCTTAGATTAGGAAATCATTTTTTTTAACTTTTAACAAAGCAATTCATTTAGAGACATATTGTAAGAAATACATAACTGTTGTGCAATAGAACAAATGTAGGTGTTCACAACACTACTTTAATTTATTTTATTTTACATCATTGCTAGGTTTATATAGACTTAGATAAAGAATAGGGATATCTCTTAATCTCTTTCTGGGAAATGTATTAAACATGAAACTACTGGTAACAAGCTAGAGTTTTCATATTATACATTAGAGCCTTTACCACAAAGAAAGAGAGCATCATGAAAAAAACATTTTTCTTGTGTGTATATATTGTATAAACACAAATATACATACAGTACCTAAATAAAAGTAATAAATACATACAAATACACACATCTGTGTATTTCAAAAAATGCTGAATAATGATAATGAGATAATCTTGAAGATGCAACTAATGATACATTTATTATATATTTATGACTAAAGACATGCACTGTCAGCAATTTCTCACCTTTGGGATAATTGACCACATAGACCAGACTCCCCCAGTCATTCTCAGGTGCGTGCAGGACCCCCTCCACCAGCCGGACCCCCCTCATGCACTGAGACTCTGGGTTCCTGTACCTCAGTCCACACGCCCCTGGAAACTGAGCCGCTACTGATGACAGTAAAACAGTCCCATCGTCCTCCGAGGGAATCTCCATGGGCTCCTCGTTTTCATCCTCAGCCACACGGATGTAGAGCTCCGACATGGTCTGAGATAATGGTCCAAGGGGAATCGAATAACGACACTCACGGTTATTTTAAACCAGTGAACAACGAGAGGATGCACGTTTTTTAAAGAACGTGAAAAAATGATAGCGTAATATCAGACGGAAGTCAAACTGTGTTTATGAAGCACCCAGCAACTTTCAAATGATAAACAAACTGTGGTCATGAGAGATACGTGCTATTTTCTCCTGTGACGACACGCGTAGATAAGTTAGCCTGTTAGCCAACAAGCTAGCAGCCTGAAAAATGAATGAACGTCGAGTTTAACTGAGTGTCAGCAAATACCCACGACCCCTAACTACTTGTGCGCCTGTTGTCAAGAATCGAAGCGAAGAAAAAGACCGAAAGGATGAATAATTTTGTGAAAAAATAAGCTCAAAACTCACTGTTAAATATTACCGACCAATACAGATTGTTAAAGCTAGCTAACAAAATGGCTGCACACCATGCCGCTGCTCAATGGGCACAAATTACGTCATCGAGCTGGAAGAGCCCACTAATGAGCTTTTATGGGGATGTTGAAATCAAAATAAACGCTGTTTATCTCAAATTTAAAATGTATATTGTTTTATTTTATTTGATGTTTAATTTAATTATTTTTTCTGTGAATGTTGTTTATTCTATTTTTCTTACAGCATCAAATTTGAGTTTTAAAGGTTTTAGCTGTTTGTACTCTCCCTTCACGTGAAACCACAAAGACTTGTCCTAGAAGCCCAAACAAAAGGTGCGCAGCAAATTAAATAATTAAATTCCTGAAATTAGTAAATCAAATTCCAAGTGTAGTGCTTACATACATTTAGAAATGTATTTCAAATACCTTTGTGTATTTCTTCGTTACTTTTAAAATGTTGTTCATTCACACATTTATTATTTATTGTCCATTTATTTTACCAAGTATTTTTTTGACAATGACTTGTATATACAGTATATCCTCTACCCACTACTAATTTTAATAACAATAAAAATAATAATACGACAAAATTTTAAATAAAGTTTACAAAAACGTATATGTTTTGTTCCTGTTACTCCAGCTTTGGTCTATGTTATCTTTTACATATCATATCCCGAGTTTTCGGTCAATTACTGTATATAAGTAATATACAGTAAGTAAGTAAAGAAAAAAAGTTAAAAGGTGAACATTTCTCCCTTTACTTTTTTGACTATGGCAGACCAGTCTTTGCCCTTGAACAGATTTTATGTAGTCCCTGGATTACAATGTGTATTATTTATGGACCATCCCAATGATCAGACAGAAGTAATAAATAACACAGCCTTAGGTTCTAAATCATTATTGAGGTAAGCAGCAGTCATTACATCACCCTCTGTTTTTACTGGTGGTGTCTTTAAAAGCCTTGAGACTGACAAATGGACTAACAGCCTACTGCATAATATTTTTTATTGTTGCAAAATTTCTGATTTGTTTGTTACTGTTACTGTAACTAACTTAAACTGTAACTTACACTGTACAACATGGTAAAGGCTGTCTGGTTGCCAATTATTATTTTTTCTGGCAGAAAAAAAACAACGCAATGATTGCATTGGATAAATATTAGTACTTTTATATGAGGCCTCATTTAATTAATTATAGTACACAATTTCTTTGGTTTTTTTAATAATACTTGATATTTTTATACTACTCTTTTCTTGTAAATAAGAAATGTATCATATTCTTCTCTTTAAATTTTTTTTACATATAAACATTAATACAAAAATATACATATGATAACAAAGTTGATGAGGTGACTGCTCAATGACAATAAAGTATCAATAATCTTGAATCAATAAAATCCCATTTTATATAATCTTAGCTTTTTGGTTCTTGTGGATGTTTCCTTGAGGAAAGTTAGATGATGCAAAAGCAATAATCCTTATTTATGACTCTATTGTCATTTGTCTGTAACATGTTAGAGTAAACACACCTGTGTTTGTGTCTCCCCCATAGCGACGTGCCTACAAATACTTGAAGTCAGACTCACATAGTCAGTTTTCATCTTAGGACATCATGAATGGTGTAGGGATTTTCTTTGTTGTTAGGACTTTGTGAGTGACTTCTGACTTGAACAACATTTAGGCAACATGCTTGAAATAAAGCTTTTTAAAATCTTTCTTCAGTGTCTTACAGAGTCTAATCATTGGAAGTGTGACATCCATTCAGAAAAGAGAATGGTTTGATGCAACGACACAATTAGCAGGTAACTTTTATTTTTATTTTTTTGCTTGAGTGTGCAAATTTTTTAAAATGTGTAACCTGAAATTACCTTTTATCACATTAAGAGGGAGACGTGCTGTGTTTTTCTGAATATATGGAGATGTGGATCCAACGTGCCAAAATAGAAGAATTAAGAGTCTGGCTGAACAAGGTCTTACAAATTCCAGGTAATTGTTTCTGACCTGAGAGAGGAGAGGACAGGTGAAGGCAGGAGATATGATGCAATACAATATGCTATATGATCCGATATGATGCGATACAATATCATATGATGCAATGAAACACATGATACAATGCGGTATGATAACGTGATTAGTTGATTAGACAGAATCACCTTTTCTTTCTTTCTGTTTTTTTTTTTTTTTGTTTTTTGTTTTTAAGGTAAAGCAAACCTTGAATCTCTGGATCAGCTGAACCTCCAGTTGTCTGTGTGTGGATTTTCACTACACAAAGATCTAGATCAGAATTTCATTTTCAGAGTCACTTACACTGGATGTTTTGTCCAACAGCAGGTATGTGACACTTTTAAGAATTGTGAATGCATTTATCTCTATAGAGACATGTGGTCTTCACACTCAGCCTCTTGATGACACTTCTATGATTGCTCTGCAAATATTTAGATTGGCTTCAATGTGCTCACACTAAATTTAATGAGGAGGATAAGCCGATTTGGAGGCAGGTCTCACAGCTTGATTATGAAATGCCCTGTGGTGTCTGTGCTGCCCAGCAAGGAGAAAATCCAGTGTGATCCTGAGTACGTTCAGGTAAATGAACAATAAAGTTAGTTGAATTGCAGTGTCCATCAAGTGGCATGACAGTTTCCTGTCTTAGTCTGGTTTGTGTGTGTCTTCTCAGGTGATAAGACAAGTACCTCATGACAACTGGAATAACGAGGTATACCGAAGTTCAATGCCTTAATAATTTTGCATTACAAATATAAATATTTTTAAGGCTTCCAAAAATACTAAGTAATATTTTTTTCATTACCTGTTTTTTATTTTATTTTTTATCACAGTTACAGTGGTCACTGTCTCTGAGTGATTACCTCATTGTGGCTCTGGAAGATTCCAGCCTAATCCAGATGAACATCATACTGAACGGAGCTGACATTATAGTCCAGGGCAGGAGGAGTGAGGTCTTAAACCCTGTGACGGTACGAAGAGCTAGGATTATGCTTCCATCTAGTGGTCTTTATGCAATTTACAGTATAATGTCTGGATGCTTCTCTCTATAGGTAATGGATAATGAAGCAGAATTCTTGGCCTTGAAGCTGGTCAGCGGCCAGTATGCCTACAGTATGGAAGCCGCTTGTCCAAAAGGTGAGTAATAAACAGAAAAGTTAATTTATTTACCTAACAATTTACACACACAACAAAAATACTCACATTATTGTTTGTGTCATATTATATCTTTTGGAAATGGAATGAAAACATCTTGACATTTTTGACCAAAAACGTTTGATCTCATATTAAAATGCACATTTTTTTTTCATCATACTGACAACGTTTTTGTAAGATTACTGAGATAAGATGTGCCAAACAGATATTTCTCTTAAAAGGGGATACGGTCTGGAATCAGCTGCTTTAATTAAAATTGTATTTTTTAATGAGTTTGTTCTTAATATTAATTTAATCTTTAAAAACTTATCAGTGATATGGATTTATATTCTTATATATTTACCCTGCAGGTGCAGTAGTTAGCAGTATATACATTTCATCACCTGTCCTGGTAACAAATATATTCCTGGTGGTTTATTTTTAGTGAGCACATCAGTGGCAGAGGTGACAGTGTTACATATTTTCAAACGCCGTATGGGCCTGATCAAACGAAGCCGACTGGACCAGGAGGGACTGACCATCAGGGATGTGTCTGTGAACCAGACCAAAAACTTCTCTGTGCACGAGACGAGTGAATTTGTGACCCTTGTCATTTCCACGGACCAAATAATCCAGACTAAGGTATGCATGACATTGACATAATCTTCAGTGTTTATGGTGGACGTGTCCTTTCAAAGGTTCTTATCAGTGCGGACTGACTGAACAGAACCTTTGTTTTACAGACCTGTACCAACAACCCAGAGCTCCTGCAGTCCTTCTACAGGGTGGATGTTGTCCTCACCTTCAAAGAGACAAATCACAAAATGCACTGGAGCATGGAGAACACCCTTCCATGCACAGGTGAGTGTTTTGCTGATGAGCACAGTAAAACTAAAGTGGTGATTAATTATGGGATGATATTTTGGCCACTAGTGATTGCGAGGCTTTTACTGTTGTCACACCATGCACTTAATTTTTGTTTGTTGCTCAGTCAATCACTTAATGTTTCGACTTTAGCACCCTTCACACACTTTAAAGTAAGATAGAAGTAAAAATTTAAACCTGATTTATGGGGAGAAAATCAAAGGAATATAATTAACAATTAGACAGGTGATGATCAGAGACGTGTGGAGTTTATTTCCCCAGGACAGCAGGAAGTTCCCCTTATTGTTGATCCTGACAAACCTTTGTTATCGTCTTCACTGTACTATTGTTATTTAGATCTATGTTTTCAGGTTTGAATCTCCACAGCCGACCAAATGCATCTGTTACCATGTGGCATCCATCCTGGTTCCTTCATTTCTAATATCTTTTTTGCCACTATTCTTTACCAGTTAGGATGTCTATGAATGAGACCATTTTATACATGGTTTAGTACTGGACAAATTGTGTTGACCAAATTTACTACCCTACATCCATATTTGACCAATTCTTATGTGGCTCACATTGTCCTTTTTGTTTAGCTTGGTCCTTACACACACATTCAAAGTGTAGTATATTTGTACAGGTCATATATTTATTAATTCATTGATCAATACTTCTTTTGCAATTCAATAGCGGTATACAGCTAAATAACAGACCACACCTATACACAAAGCTGTCTCTCCTCTAGCCTTACATTGGAACAAACAGACTTGTTGGAGTCAATGCGTCCAATATCGTCGCATGGACTTATTTTTGTACTACATGAGACAAACTTGTGTGACCCAGTATGGGACCAGAAATAAGCCACCGTGGGTAAATGTTTGTGTCGTACATATCTACCACGGGAAAGCCATCATGTCAGGGTGATTTGTGGGGTCCATAATTTGGTGAGACTACATTCTTTTGATGGCTTGTGATGCCTCAGGGTTCTGTCTCAGGCCCCTTTAGTTTGCATGCACAGTACCTTCTAGTGGCTGTACTGGGAAGTACAGCCACTGTACTGCAAA